AAACCACCTGGGTTGGTTTTTTTTCCCCCCCCCCCCAGCCCTCCCCTTCTTTTCTTCTTCCTTCAATTCTTCTTTCACGAATTATAACTCTACCCACAGCTCCTGAGTCTTAAAGTGTGTTTAAGGAATTGAGGAACATATATATATATATTTTTTTTTTTTTTTTTTCAATTTTCAAATTTGTTTCTCAGTTTTTCTCAATTTAAACTGAAAGAGGGGAGATTCAGACTGGACAAAAGGTCCCATCCAGCCTGATCTTGAATGTTTCCAGGGATGGAGCATCTACCACCCGACCTGTTCCACTGCCTCCCCACCCTCATCGTAAAAAAATTCTTTCTAATATCCAGTCTAAATCTCCCCTCTTTCAGTTTAAAACCCTTCCCCCTCATCCTACGGTTCCCCTCCCTGATCCAAAGTCCCTCCCCATCTCTCCTGGAGCCCCTTTAGGGACTGGAAGGGGCTCTAAGGTCTCCTCAGAGCCTTCTCTTCTCTCTGAATAACCCCAGCTCTCCCAGCCTGTCCTCACAGCAGAGGGCCTCCAGCCCTTGGAGCATCTTTGTGGCTTCCTCTGGACTTGCTCCAACAGCTCCATGTCTTTCCTGTACTGACCAGTCCCAATATTTAACCTCTTCCAGTATTTGACCTGTCACAGCATTTAGCTACATTTGATATTTAATAATCCACCTGGCAATTTTTTTTTTTCCCCTACTTACTAATGGGGATTTCCCATGTCTCAATGGAGGGACGTCGACTCTCCTGCCATCAGTTTGTACCTTCCAGAAGGTTCTGGCTCCGTTGTCGCTGCCCCAGGTGGGTGTAGGCAGAGATCAGGTCCCACCTTTGCCCTCTCTGAGCACTCTCGGACACCCTGTGCTCCGGTCCCCTGCCCTGCTCAGTGGCCTCCGCTGGACGGGCTCCAGTATCAATACCCTTCTTGCAGCATAGAGCCCAAACCTGGCCACGTTACTCCAGATGTGGTCTCAGAAGTGTCAAACTGAGGGGAAGGACCTCGTACCACGACCCCCCAGCGACGCTCTTGCTAACGCAGCCCAGGATGCTGTTACCTTCCTCACTGCAAGGTCACGTTGCTGACTCATCATCAACTTCTTGGCCCCCAGATCTTCTCCTGTGGAGCTTTTCAATCGTTCAGCTGCCCATTTGGGCTCTCGAGACCCGTCACAACCTTCTCAGAGCGCACACTGAGCTGCCTTTCCCATGTGGGTATCCATTTCTGAGGAGATTCCCAGGTGCAATCTGCAAATGACAAAGGGAATATAGAAGTCTAATGTCAAAAAATGACATCTATCTTTGCAGTACGCTATCAGCTTCAGGTCAAGGGATCCTGAAGGACTCTTGTGTCTTTACCCTTGAGAAACTCCAACTCAGCTGTGTGTGACGAAATTCAGCACGCTTAATGGTGCGACTCCCTCTTCTGACAGGTTTTACGTTGATCTTTCCTGACTAAATATGCTAACAAAAGACCAGTTGGGAAGTATAAATTAGACAATGTTATCAGCTCCTTCTGGGTAGTGAAACCCAACCAGGATGTTAGCAGAGTGAAGTAAGAATCCCCAGGAGATAGAAAAGTGCTTTATTGCCTTCAGGGCATGTTCTGGTTCATCGTTAATCGACAGGAGCCTCAGTTAGACAAGACAGGAACACAACGATGGCAATATAAACACAGATCCATAGGTTTGCAGTGTGGATTCTGCACCGAGTGATGACATGAGCTGGGGCAGAAAATGTTTGCTAAATTGCCCAACAGTAGTACCTTCAAGGCACAGGGGATCCAGACACCCTTCCCTGAGCTCCTCGTTGTGCTCAGGAAGGTATAGACAGCCCATGACCATGTCTGTGCACCTCTCAGGATCTCTGCTCTGAACACCACAGGGCAGAGCCCTGCTTTTCCTGGCCCTTCCTGGGAAGTTTCCGCTGTGTGGGCCCCAGCTGGTAGCTCTTCCAGTCAGTGGAAAAACTTGAGGTATCTCTTTCCGATTTTATACTCTGTGTCCTTGACATTTAAACTTCGTGGCTGAGCCTAATCCCGGTTGCTGAGTAGTTGAGTAGGCATCTACAATATAGACATCTTTATTATGGCCTTTTTCCCAGTTTGAGTCTGGCCAAAACGCTTATTTTCACATTTAGCAGAATGGCCTAGACCTTTTAGCATTTACTTATATTTGGCCCTGAAAGGGTTGGGCCCAGATCCAGGAAGGTACTTAGGATCTTACTTGATTTTAGTAGGATATAGATTCTTTATATATTTATAAGCGGTGCTTTCATTCTCATTTAATGGGGTCCTGAAAGTGCTGATATCTTAATATCTGTGTACATTCTGAAGTCTATCTCATACTCTTCCCAAACTGGTTGGTAACTGATGATGGGTATTTTTGAGGTTCTTACGAGGTTTTTGGTTATCTGCCCTCAGTGTCATGTGGGGCCTTGCCTCCCAGCATGCAGCAAAGTGTCCGCTTCTGGGGCATTTCTTGCAGGTAGGGAACCTTCCAGTACAAAAAGACGACTGCAATGTAATTAACTGTCAGGAGTGTTGTTTCCCGTGCCAGTTAGAATTCTTCCATTTGCTTCCAGTTGGCATTGCCTTCTCTGGGTCCCCCTTGTGCTGTTTCTGGTCCAACGGGTCTTGTTTCTGCCAGTTTGGGGACGTTCCTATTTCTCTACGTGAGTTTCCATCATGGGATCCCCTCAAAATCACTCCTGCAAAGTGCTTGTAGTTTCCTTCCATCGTTCTTTAGAGAGGCTCAGAGGCCTATTTTAGCAGCTGCCTTTGGAAGCCTGCGCTCAGGGTCGTCCTTCATATGAGGTCAGGATAATTTGGGACTCTTCCCTGGTATTTAATTGATTTCCTGAGCTGTCTCAATGAGCCTATTTCAGGTACGTTCATCTCTCCAATTCCCCAGCTCTTATGAAATTACGCAGTATTTCACCGTTCTCGTTTAAATAAATGAAATCGCGTCTGCTCAAAGAATACATTGCATCATGGCATGAAATATTGATCTCAACCACAGTGAACTTTTTAATTAGGACAACTGTGAGGTTTCTAGAAAGATCCTCTGATGAGGGTACTAGCGTACAGAAGAAGCGTGAGTGTACTTTCCTGTTTCCTGGTCTGAACTAGAAACTGTGTAAGATATCTTACTCTGATACAGGGATTTAACAACAATCAGAACAGTATATAGAATAAATTGAAGACTTCTAGGTGTCAAAGTTTTAGCAGATCACAGGGCTCTCTCGATTTAAATCATTTTTATGCTGAAAAAAAGGGCATAGTCTTAAAAAAAGCCAATTGATGCTACTGTGGACCAGTCCTTAACCTCACTGACCCTTATTTTTCTGTCTTTACTTCATCTCACAGCCTCAATTTGTCATAGCTGACCACTTTATGACCTCTTGTCATTTTAGGCCTTTTCACATTTTGCTGGTAGGTCTGTGAGGCTTTCCTTGCAATGTGTCACTGCTTCTTTTATTTTTTTTCTTTTTCTTTCTCCTTCTTCTTCCCTTTCTGCAAATGCTTTTGATTTTAATTCTGGTTACTTCTACTCCTGGCGACATGTAGAGGTTGCAGAGATCATGGATGTCAAATGAACCAGAAGTTTCTATTTCTTATGCAGACTCATTAACCAGCTGGTGGCCTCTCTAAATATAGCATATTTTAAAAAGCCTTCCAAAATCTTTAGATTTCCTAAACCAGGTGTTGGATCGATGGATCATGGTCAGGCCTCAGCACACTGCACAGGTTGCCGTGAGGTATTATTACGAAACTTTTATCTCACGGGCCCATGCATTTCATCACTCCTTTTAATTTCACAGGCCGACTGCAGATTAGTTACCTCATAGACCACAAACGAGGTAGTGCCATCATTATCATTATTACTGTTAATTGGTTCTGAAGCACCTTTTGAAGGGCCCCCAGTCTAATCTAAAGCAGAAACGACGATTTAATTTTTAACCTATTATTAGCATTAGTAGGTATAAAGCAAGGCTTAAAAAGATTTGAAAATGGTCAGTTACAGTTAATCTTATTCAGGTTATTTTCCTCCGGCTATTCCAATCTAGTCTACGAACTATTTTTAGTAGTCACTGCAGTGCTCTTAATGCCCATATTCTCATTAAAGGCTTGTTTAATTTTCCTTCTTTTTCTTCACATTTTTCCGAAATCACTTTTGAAAGAAGAAAAAAATGGTTTGAAGGAGGAAAAACCTGGCTGAGGGCGAGGAACACGGAGGCATAACCATTCTAAATAAAAGATGAAATAGTAAAACTGCTGTTGATAAATGAGAAGGTCTGCCAGGCTTTCCTAAAAGCCCAAGTTTTACCACCAAATCCCCAGTGCGCCCCTTCCTGCTGGAACAGTAAGTGGGTTAGCCTGTTTTAAACTACGCCTGTTTCAGCTCAGTGAAAGGACTTTTTTGGGTCCCTTCTCAGGTGATTTGGCAGTGCATTTTCTTTTTTAGATGCACGGGGTGCTTTGGGTGGAGGAAAGCTGCTGTTTCACTGCTGCTTTTTCACCTTAAAAACGGCAATCTGGGCACGGCCGAGGCGCCAGGCCGGGCTCGCCTCAGCGCCTGAGGGGGACCCCACGCCCTCGCGCACGGCCGCATGAGATCTCCCCCCCGATTGGGCACACCTCCTTCTGATCCGGTCGCTTATTGGTCGACGGGAAGAGAGACCTCAAGAAACCTCATTTCCGATTGGTTCTACACGGTGTCAGCTCTTCCACCGTCAGCCCAGCCCTGAGGAGAGCGGGCCCTGGGCTGATGGTGGGGCCAGGCGCCCGGCAGCCAATCAGACGGGCGGGCGTCGCGGCCGCCGCGCGCCGCGCGG